TTGGCCACCACTGTATGTATGTGTATATATATATATATATATATATATATGCCAACATTTATACAGAAATAATAGTTTGACAACATTTTATTGAAATAATAATATAATGTTGCTGGTTTGTTAGTGCTGAGTGCTTCCCCTGCAAATCACAGTGCAATCAAATAATAACACTTTTTTAAAAATAAAAATTTTCTCAAAAAATCAGTGTAGAATATATTAAAAAATGTCATCAGATTCTGTCTGGGCCTATTAATAAATGCAGAAAACCCAAACACAGTGGAGATCGGCCACGCTGCTCTACACTTCAGGAATAAGACATAATCCTAAAAGCAAAACAGACGTAAAAAGCACCATGAAACCAAACTGTTTCAATGTCTAAACACCGTGACCGTGAACCATCTGTTTTCCCCAGCGAAAATCACACGACTCCAGATGAGGTCTACTGCAATGCCTGACCTCGAAAAATAAGTCCATCCTCAGAGATCCGATCATCTTGTCTATCGGAATTATATTTGGGAATGTCCAATGGCGATCTGTGACCGGTAAGAGCGGTCGTCTGAGAGTTATCAGTAAACACAGACATAAATCAGCTATCACTCCCAGCGACGGGCGTCTTTCTATTACAGTGTTGCGTTGTGGCTGGATTGAATCGGGGTTAACCACATCAGGATGTAGCTGGTAAACTTTCCCAGCTTTTTGGCCATTGATTTTTAAGATGTAAGAAGAAAAATTGAGCTGCATGGTGCGGATGGCCGGCGCCTGTAGTCGAGTTGACAGTACTGATGGGATCCCGTCTGTTAGCCATTCAACAAAACCAGCGTGTTAATGCTCATACCAGCCACACGGGTTGCGACCTTAAATGTCTGTTTAAGATCTTTCTCTGGGCCAATCATGGCCACTTTTATAGTTGAACCTCAATGCATCTGTCACTCAATGCACCCTAGTTACAAGACATGCACTTAAACACATCCTCACGACGTTCAGTTTGCGATCCGTAAGGAACGGCAACTTTATTGCGGTCATAAAAACGTTGCAATCGGCCTGTATTTCCAAGGAACAACTCAAACTGACTGAGATTGCACTCAGATGCATTTGAGATGAATGGGATTGGATTAATGCCTCCCTTGTTTTTCAAGGCCGGGGATTTTCCTTCGAGAAGCAACTCCATTCAAATATTTGTCAACTCCCGTTAGAAACATTTAATAGTAGTAAAATTTATGGCAGCGCTTTCTGCAGGATGCTGCCAGAGAGAAGCATCATTGTGGAAAGGTAATAAATGCTACCAGTGTTTTGGGCCGTTTTGAGTTATTATCTGAGCATGAAGCCCAGCAAGAGGGAGTTTATGTCCAAGGCTGATATTAAGAATTTAGTATTTTATTCCATTACGAAATAAATCCTCCATTAAGATGGGAAAAAATAGAGAAATCGGTGCAGTCGCTATAGATGTTTGCAATGCCTACGGACGTATATTCCCCCTCCTTTACAAACCCTAAAACCATTTACACTATAAATAATTCCACAAAAGGGACGGTGGGAATAGACGAACCTGAGCACTAAATCAGCCTGTCATTCGGCAGGAAGTTCAGTGACGGTAACAGGAGGTTCCTCAGGAATCCACTGAAGCAGCACTTCCAATATTGCGTTCCCATATGGCCGAGATGCAATAGTTGGTATCTGGAGACAGGTAAAATAGAGATGTCAGGCTTGACATATTCATTCCAAGAACTACAATCATTCTTTAGATTTATACTTTAAAATAATGTTTAGGAATATATAAAATGTATTGCATTTTATGAGTATTATAGTAATGAGTATGTATATTTCTCCATATATATATATATATATATAGTATATATATCTTTTTTTTATTTTATTTTATTTTTAATTTAACCAATATAGTAAAAATAAAACATCAAATATTTTTAAAAATGTTATATCATTATTTTTTTATATACTTTTATTTTTTTTCTTTATTTAAGCCAATACTGTAAAAATAAAAAAAATACAACAAATATAAATAAATAAAGGTACAAATGTATTTATAATATATAAAAAATATATATTTTTTTTTTTTACTATATTGGTTTTAGTTACAAGTATGTGCAACTCAAATTTCAATTTTGAGAGCTAATTTTGTAGTCCTTTATTCAGATATATACATTCACAATTTAAAATATAAATTGTAAATGTATATATCATTATTGTTTCCCAAACTGGAGGTTGTGAGTCAATAAAAAGATAATAAGTAATTAAACATAACATAAAAATGTAACATTTAACATAAAATGTAAAATAAAATAAAAAAATTTAAAATTAAACCACTCACTAAAAAAGCTGCAATATTTTAGTTATTTGTCTGCATGTCATGTGAAAATGCTGTAAATATGCGAACATGTTCAATTTTTAAAGTATTAACTTAAATATATTTTATATTAAATAATATAATTTAATAATTTATTATTTTTATATTATATTAAATATTTTTAATATTTAATCCTAAATATTTCAGCTCAAAGAAAGAGCCAAAAAAAAAAAGCTTGGGAATCCCTGAATTAGATTTTTTTTTTTTTTTTAAATGGGAAACAAATTTCAGGCATTAATGTGAGTTTGCTATAGCAATGCCTAATTGGCTATTTGATTGTTCATTAATATTAACCATACAGCTTACCAATGATGTCTAAAACTGACGTCGGATCAAGTTTTGCTGAAAGATTATGAAGACATTTTTCTCCATAACAACATGCACTGATGAATCATTCGCAATAGACCAAGAACACGATTTAAAGTAAATGTCAATTCTCTTTCACTGTTTTCCATTACTATATACTCTATATCATATTATAAAAGAGTTACTCATTTCATGGGCCGGCATTCAAAGCGTGAACGAACATTTTACTGGACGGCGTGGAGTCACACGTTATAAAGTTATTGAAACACAGAGCTCAGTGTGTTGTGAATCTGATAATATGGGACAAAGGAGGTCTGGGAATCGTAACCTGCATGAAATATGGGCCGTGCAGGGCTTGTAAAAGCCTTGTGATAAATTAGTTTGTATTCCTCTGTTTTTCCCTTTTTTCATCCTGAAAACCTAGGGTGTTTTCTTTCGGACGTGCAGCTTTTCTCCTCTTTGTCCATTCAGATCCTCAAGCTGTGCACGCAGAACATCAGAGCCCAAATTTAAGGGCCTTCGGAGACCCGTACGGTCTCCCTGATGGAAATCTCTCAAGCCACCTAACAGGGATCCTACAAGGTCACGGAGGAAACCCACTCTTTTGGAGAAAAAACAACAGAAAACATCCGCAGGCCGGCTGCAGCACTGACATCAATCAGCTGCGGAATCTGCAGAGGAACTGTTGTTAAACGCATTACCGTTTCATGACAGTTAAGAGGCAATTTGGCAGATTATCATGAACGCTCTCATGGGTGCGCAGATAAGTGGTTGTTATTTATGTGCAGATGCGCTGAGGGTCATCCAACACAAACGTAAATAATAAAAAATAAAGCATGTTACCAACAAGGAAAGCATCAGGATTACTAGTGTGCATTGTTAGAGAGGGATTTTACAAAACCTCCAACGTTAAGCATTAAACTTCAGCGATTGTGTTACAGAAGGCATGAACGAACCAATTTCATTTAGAAAAGTCGCTTTAGATAAAACATACGCCAAATGCATACATGCAAATGCTAAAAATCCCCAACAACGTGACAGTGAGTTTTGCACCATTCACAGTTAACTCAGAAAATATAAAAATGTAGTTCTTTCTAGCAGGGAATTGACAGTGAAGTTAGTGTACAATGTAGTACAGTGTAGTTTGTCCTCATTTTATGTAATGCTGCTAAATAATAGCTATAAAGCAAGAAAAGTTGGTTTACGAGGCGAAAAGATTGTGTGACAAAACTACATTACCCATCATTCTCAGTGGCTGAGATCAGGGTTATTAGCAGGGTGCAAACTACGGGGGAGCTAGGAGGAGCTCGGCTCCCTTTAATAAGACATGGGCTCCCCTGAAAACGTGATTTGTGAAATTTTGGGGGGTCTCAAAAAATATTGACAATGTGTTATTTTGACGTGCAGTTTTCAGTTTTGTGTAATGTGATCATCGTGGATTATTATGTGTAAAATTGCAAAAATAACATTAATTCAAGCATGACGGCGATTTAAACCTAATTAACTTCAATAAAGATAACTATACATGCTATTCTTGTCATGAGCATCAAGGTGTGGGGGCGCTGCGGTGCAAATTCCACTCATGTTTAGTACATGTTAACTCAAAGATTCGTAGAAAAAACGTTGGACTCTGTGGTCGATTCTGTGTTAAGGTAAGGCATGTTATTCGCAATTATGTGTTGTGGCTGGGTTGTTATAGGTCTGTGTGACTCTCGATGTCTTAGGTCTAACTGAACGGAGGAATTATGGTATTTTTCTGTAGCCTGACGACGAGTAACTTTAACCGTTGTTCATGTGAACTCAAAGACAGCCTGATGCTTTGTTTATAGACTATTTGTGGGTGGCTGTTTGTTGTTTCACCAATCAATTCGTGTCGATAAAGTATAATAGGGTAAATCCTGTATAGTGATTTATCCTATATAGTGCTTGCATAAAGCAAGTAGTGCATACAAAGATACATAACCGCTAAATTACAAGTGTAAGTCATTGTAAGCCCTCTTTTGAGGCATGCGCAAGCGCACCCACCCACCCCCCGTTTTATACAACAAAAAAAAAACAAGTGGGCTCCCCCAAAGACCACGGTATAGTTCGAACACTGGTTATTAGAGTTAACTAAAACTAAAACTAATTTTTACAAAAATTGTCACTAAAAAATTAAAACAAAAACTTATTTTATTTCAGTTAGCAGTTAGTTTCCAAAGCAACATTTCTCTTTTTTTTATTTAGTTTGGTTAGAGTTAGGGTTAGGTTTAGATGTCCTAAAACTGAAAAAAAAACAAAAACAACAAAAAAACAAGAACCAATAAAAATGACAAAAACACAACAAAATTACTAAAACTTTAACAAAAAATAAATAAATAAATAAATAAATAAAAACAGAAAATATAAACATAACTGAAAATAGTTTATTTAAAATATGTACACTTATTTGATTTTATTTAGTTGCCAAGGCAACATTTCTCATTTTCACTTAGTTTATCTTGATGTACTAAAACTGAAAAGTAATACAAAATATAGACATTAAAAAAGCAAATAAAAATGACAAAAACACATAAAAATACTAAAACACTAACTAAAATGAAAATTAGTGTTGGGCGATATGCTCCATAGTCATATTGTCCTAGCGTCAGCCTGTGAGATCGCCCATATACGATATTATCATGCTAATTTATTTAATTATTTACTTACTTAATTTCATAGCCAGAGACTGAACCAACTAAAAGCAGCCTAATGTTAGTGTAATCTACACATTATATCTTTTTAGTCAAGCAGCATACGGATGTCATGTCATAAAATATTTTTATTATGACTGAATTTGTATTTTATGATATCATTTCAATAAAAACGTTTAGAATGCAATTATAATGCCAACAATTATAATGCATTCATTTCCTCAGTTATTCAAACAGCAGCTACAGAAAAAGCAATAGCAAAAAGCATTTACATTATCAAAGAACATCATCACTGACTCCCGTTATAATCAGGGACGCCATCTACACTGTATGATGAATACATTTCTTATACTTACATTGCACGTACATCTGCACTTTGTTGTTTATGAGAGAATTTGCGAGAGAGCAGAATTCAGTCAGCGAGCGCCGTGCACTGAACAAAACAACAGTGTTT